GGAGGACCATGGCTCAGATGATCAGAACATGCATACGGCCCGACCAGAAGGATTGGGTCATGAAACTACCGGCGGTGGAGTTCGCAATCAATGCTGCCCGATCTGACAGTACGGGGTTCGCCCCGTTCTTCCTAGATACTGACGCGCTCACCTGGATTTGCCAGTGCCGCATCTTTGGCTGTTCTAGCACGCGCTGCGGGTATCACGCGTCAGTAAGTTCTATGCAATGGAGCCCGAGATTCAGCCGTGGACGCACCTGTGCGACTACCGCTTGGATCTTCAGCTGCATCCTTCAGCCTCGGGTTTGCCTTCCGATACTGATTCGTCCACTGCCGTTTCTTGTTCGCCGTCCATGATCCATAGTCGTCCGGCCGCGCCGTGAGCTCCTCCGGGGACGGTTCCACCATGCTCGCAGAGAACAGCGGCCGCAGGTTGCCGGTTACTCCATGGGCCCGTTGGGGCAGCACGTACGTGGCAGCGAGGTCAGAGAGAAACAAACCAACGTCGGTGAGGAGTGAAGAGCGAAAGGTACGGTCACGTGCTGCTTTGCAGAGACTGCGCTATCCCCTGCTATCCCGTTCTTATCTAAGTGTTAGCTTTCTAACACGACGACGAGTGCAGGCATTCACTTCTTTGTCTACCCGACCTTCGCTCGTTCCTCCAATCACCATTTCCCTCCTTTCTTTCTACCCTACGGTACGGTGCCAGAGTCATGGGAGATGATGGAGGAGGTATTCCAGATCGGCGCGATCTCGTACGCACAAAGCCAAAGGTACCGCGGCCGATTTCGTTCATCCCCGTCCCTCGCTGACTCAAGTCGTTGTCTCGTCGTTGCCGTAGGCAGAGCAAGCGGATCAGGCGAATCAGACCCGCGCTCGATGGCACTCCTGTGCGCTGTCCAAGGAGCCGCTCCAGGAACCCGTCGTGTCCTGTGCCCTCGGCAAGCTATAAACCGAGAAGCCATCATCGGTTAACTGCTAGACAAGACGACCTACGGCGACGGACAGGAGATATGCGGGCACATACGGTCTCTCAAAGTGCGTCTCTTCGATCTTCCACATCCGCCCGTTCGCGCTCAATCCCAACGTATCGCATCGTCAGGACGTCAAGACCTTGAACCTGACCCCAAACCCCGCGCCCAGGTCCACGGATATCACATCCGACGAGTTCAGGCCCCAGTTCATCTGCCCGCTCACCGCGACGGAGATGACCGACACGCTTCCCTTCGTCTATATCGCCACCTGCGGCTGCATCTTCTCGCACGCCGGGATCAAGTCGCTCGCCTCCTCCTCACCCGAAGACTCCCCCAAGGACTCGGCCACTCCTCCGCCTGCCGAGAACAAGCAGCTCGACCTCTGCCCGAAGTGCGGCTCCAAGTACCAAATCGTCCGACGTGCTGCCCCTCTACCCCTCCTCGGAAGAGGAGGAGAAGCTCCGGCTCACGATGGAGCTCAAGCGCGCCGCTGAGCCCGCTCCAACGACCAAAAGGGCGGCAAGAAACGGAAAGCGGACAGGGTGGATAGTGCAACAGACGCGATCACGATAGCCGCCATAGTGCTGAGCGATGCGTCGCAATAGCGACACGGGCGACAACCAGGCGACGACGACCGTCCCAGCGGCGGTCAACGCTCCGTATACGACCGAGGAGACGGGCGCAGACACGACAACCGACGGCGTGCAGACCACCGGGCGCGACCACAACCACGACAATACGACCGGCGTGGCGAATTCGAACACGACGACCGCCATGCTGCTGAACAGTGCGGCGCACCTGCGACATGGGGCCGCAAGCTCGGATACCACCGCCACGGCGACCTGCGGCGCAATAGTGGGCTCAGGCCTAACCGAACGCGCCCGGTGCGGCGGGTGTAGGCCATGGGTCCGTCCCAGCGGCGAGCGACACTACGTGGATGACCGTGACAGAGGATGCGTGAGCGAGCAGTGTGCGATACGAGCGGCACAGGTAGCACGGATGGTGAGTCTCAGCCGCGAGTGGTGTTAGGCAGTCCGTTTTACTGATAACGTCGTTCAATCGAAGTGTTCCAGATGTACGGACGGCCGCCGCGATCACTTACAGCCTCGCGCTCGCAAATGCGTTCATCAAACTCGTCTTCGTGCTGCCCATCCGCCGTCAATCACCATGGATCATGCAAACGGGGGTAGCGCAATCACTAGCCCCGGGATCTTCGCAAACGCGCCCCCTCGCAGTCCATCCTTCCGCCCTCGATGGACACGAACCGGACGCAGCATTGCCAGCGCAAGTTGCTGGCAGCTGCCCTCCGTGTTCGCAACGGCACCTACCCGACGCGCGAACCGCGCTCTCCCACCTGTATCCAACATCGACAGATACGCCACAACGGACGCAAACGCTGGACACTGCGCACTCGCAACCGAGCGCGTTCATCGAACGCACCCTCGTGCTGCCCATCCGCCGTCAATCGCCATGGATCGCGCCACCACGGGTAGCGCAATTGCAAGCTCCGGGGTCTTCGCAAACGCGCCCACTCACCCCTCTCGTAGTTCCATCCTTCCGCCCTCTCGATGGACACGGACCGGACGCCACATTGCCAGCGCAAGTTGCTGGCAGCCACCCTTCATGTTCGCAACGGCACCTGTCCAACACGCACAAATCGCACGCTCTCACCTGTCATCAACATCGAGCGGACACATCACAGCCAGCGCAATTGCTGGACACTGTGTTTCCGCAGCCACGCGCGCCCATTGCGTGGACTGGGTGGGCCCGTCGCTTCGTAGCGCGATCACTGGTAGGTAGACGTGCTCCGGCGATGCCACAATGGTATTTATATCACAGCCTGTGTTCGAAATCCGCATGCGCAGTTACATTCTTTTCTCAGAGGGCTGTTTCAATCCTGTCCCGTTGTACAGCATCTGCCACGTAGCTTGACCTTGTGTTCTACCTTCACCGCAAGGTGCCCGCTCTCCGCCTTTCACGCCGACTTTGCCCACAAACTGTCTGCAATACTGATATCAGGATGGCCACTACCACCTGTCAAGCTTGCAGGAGACAGTATACGTTCGCCGGCATGGCCAATCACTTGCGCCAAACCCGGCATGACAGTTGTCGGAGATATTACGAGGCTCTTGAAGCCCGACATCGTCAGAGTAGCCCTCACTTGCCTTCAGGCTCTCGGCCACGGAGTCTTCGTGGACGACGAACTCCCCTTAGCTTTAGGCATCCAAACATGTCAGATTCTAGTGGATCTCGCAGCCCTCACCGTCGAAGGGCAAGCACTAGTCCTCGTAGCTCTGGTTCCCATCATAGCCCAACCTCGGCAGGCTCTGCAGAACCATTGTCCAATTCCCCTAGGCAGGCCCCTCTGGATGATGACTCGGGACAGCCTTCATATTTCCAGGGTGATTTATATGGAGATGATTATAGTGACGATGATTTTTCATGGATTAGTGATGATGACAGCACTACATCCACAGAGGCTGATAATGATGATGCAGGATGGGAGCCTCCTCTCAGTGCACTATCACGGGCTCCATCTCCATCACCTGAAGAATCAGCAGATCTCTCCGCTGCTCGGCCACCCTCTGATGACCTCCGCGCCGAAGCTGAAGACGAGCTCTCTGTCCATCCTTTCACAGTGAGATTCGGGGGCCATGCTGGTGAGATACTATCTTCAGGTGGACCCTCAGGATACAGTGACTATCAACAAGAGTTGTCACACATACCGGATAGCTCAGAGAATATATGGGCACCATTCAGATCGCAGATAGATTGGGAAATTGCAAAATGGGCGAAGCTCAGGGGACCAAGTTCTACTGCTTTCTCAGAGCTTTTGGCCATTGCTGGAGTAAGATCACCCTAGTTTATTGAGAAATCATTGATTTATCATGCTGTCAGGTGTCAGATGCTCTTGGGTTGTCATACACGAATACCAGGGAGCTCAACCACATTGTTGATAAGCAGCTACCAGACCGTCCAAGGTTCAAACATGAACAGGTCATCATTGACAACCAGGCTTTTGACCTATTTTCACGGGATATCATCCAGTGTATCAAAGACTTATGGGGTAATCCAGAGTTTGCATCGATTTTGGTATTTCAACCAGAGCAACACTACACCAATGATACTCGTTCGACACGTCTATATCATGATATGCACACAGGACAATGGTGGTGGAACACACAGGTAAGCAACATCTTGCATAAGTTATATATTCCTAGATAACATACAGTTACATATTAGGAACAGGTTGAACATGACAACCCTGGTGCTACAATTGTCCCCATTATCATCAGCTCAGACAAAACCCAACTTACCCTCTTTCGCAACAAATCAGCATATCCAGTATATCTGACTATTGGCAATCTACCAAAAGCAACACGAACCAAGCCTTCGCGTCAGGGTCAAGTACTCTTGGCATATTTACCAGTTACCCGTCTTGAGCATATGACAAACAAGGCTGCCCGCCGGCGAGCACTTGCAAATCTATTCCACGGTTGCTTGGCTCACATTCTTGAACCGTTATCACAAGCTGGAATCCACGGAGTACCGATGACCACTGGAGATGGTGCAACATACCGTTGTCATCCAATATTTGCATGCTTTGTGGGTGATTATCCTGAACAGATGTTGGCGGTCTGCTGCAAGTATGGTGAATGTCCTGGTTGTGATATTCCCCATAGCGAACTTGGAAGTGGCGAGCTTGGCGATGATCGCAATATGGATGCTATACTGGATGCTCTGGAACTAGCAGAGGAAGGCGGTCCTGCGTTCACACAGGCATGTCAAGAAGCTGGTATAAAGCCTATTTACCACCCATTCTGGCAAGAACTCCCTTATACCAATATTTTTCAGTCTATTGTTCCAGACATCTTGCATCAACTGTTGCAGGGAATACTCAAGCACGTTCTTGCTTGGATCAAAGCTGCCTATGGACCCACAGAACTAGATGCTCGATGTCGACGGATGCCTGCCAGTCATGGGATGCGTCTTTTTACACAGGGTATATCGAGTTTGAGTCATATCTCAGGATCTGAACACCGCCAGATATGCAGCATTATTCTTGGTCTAATTGTTGACCTCCCCCTTCCACATCATATGCAATCATCACGCCTCATACGTGCGGTGCGCAGTATTCTGGACTTCTTATATCTGGCCCAATATCCCTGTCACTCAACACACACCCTCGATGCATTGGAAACTGCCTTGAACTGTTTCCATGAAAACAAGTCAATCTTCATAGATCTTGGCATCCGTGCACACTTCAACTTTCCAAAGTTGCACTTCGCATCCCATTATCGACCTCTTATTGAACGGTTTGGCACCACAGATAACACCAATACCGAAACAACAGAAAGGCTTCATATTGATTTAACCAAAGATGCATACCGTGCTACAAACAAAAAGGATGTTTATCCACAGATGACCATATGGCTGGAGCGCAAGGAGAAGATTCTCCGACATTCATCCTTTGTCCAGTGGCGATTGGAAGGAGTCTCACCTGCCCCCACTCCGAGTCGAGCACAGGGTCACCAAGCATATCTGGCTAGGATTCATGTAGCCAAAAATCCATCCAAGGCTTCAGTGTCCTTCTCTGATTTAGAGACCAACTACCATGCACCGGATTTCCTACATTATCTACAGCGGTATATTGCCAACACCAATAAACCTGGGCTTACAGCTGCACAATCCTATGATGCTGCATTTGAGCAACATGTTCCATTTACCAAGGTCCCTGTTTATCACAACATAAAACTCACTCATCATAATCCACACTTGTACTCTGAAGGACATGATATTCAGGATACACTACATGCCAACCAGTCAAGAAGTGATGCAGCTTTAATCAAAATCAAGAATGAATGTGGTCCAGGAGTGAATGGTACTTATATCTTCAGAGAGTTGATATATAGAGGACTAACAATAACTATAGGTTACCGTGTGGCACAAGTCAGGGTTGTTTTCAAGATCCCAAAGAAATATCAGGCTTCGATTTTCAAACCAGGAAGTTCGCCTGAACCCCACCTTGCCTACATCGAATGGCTCTCACCATTTCGCTCTCCACATCCTAACCATAGGATGTACCAGTTATCACGTGCATTAGAGTGGGAGGGAACAGAATGGGAGACAAGACATGCTGAGATTATACCTCTCAGCAGGTTGCATCAAGTTGTGCATTTGATCCCACAGTTTGGTCCTCAGGTGCCACGTGAATGGACCTCATCAAGTTCTATAGAACTAGCTTCTTCCTTCTATGTGAACTGTTTCAGGAATGCACTTGCTTATAAGACTATTTTCTGATAGGATAATCTTCTATTCTCTAGATTCAATTAGGCTACCATTAGCGTAAATTAGCTGAGTGTTATCCCATGTTAGCCAGAATTATCTGAAACTGGATAGAGCTAGCCTAATGTGCATAAACTGAACCAATGTATTCAAAATCACCATCTGAGGGTTTTCCTGATGCATCGATATATCGGTCCTCTGCCACTTCATCGAGCAGATCTCCTCTCTTCTAGTTATCCTTGCCAGAATCAGATCTGCGCCGCCGCTGCACGATGTGATCATGCCTCACAGTTGGCTGGTCCGCATATCGATGCATCTAGATGACCTCGTCAGGAAGGAGTTCTCGATGCAGACGGCGTACCTATTCATCATCTGACAAAACCCCCATGGAAATATAGCACAATATAGTGTTCAATAGTCTACATAGTACCATAGCAATGTCCTTTTCTATGAAGGCTATAGATCTATCACCAGCTGCTATCATAGATCTCAATATGCTATGGAGTTGTGGGCTATAGCTATATGTTCTATAAACTGTCACACTACTGACTATCACTGCTATGGATGTTCAGGTAGCTGGTATATACACTATCTACCCTCTATAACTTCTGTATTATATAGAAAGTATGTATGTTACCCTACAGTCATAGGCTATATAACATACATACCCTCTATATTATATAGAGGGTATGTATGTTATCCTACAGTCCTAGAATATGTAACCTCCATACTCACTGTATTATATAGAGGGTATGTATGTTATCCTACAGTCCTAGACTATGTAACATCCATACCCTCTATATAATATAGAGGGTATGTATGTTATTCTACAGTCCTAGACTATGTAACCTCCATACCCTCTGTATAATGTAGAGGGTATATAAGTTGCCTCACAGTCGTGCCCTTGGTCCAGTACTGCTTCTGTAGTATTGCGAAAGCATGTCATAGGATTATATATACTGCACTGTAGTAACAAGGCGAAAGCATGCGTAGATTTACAGAGACGGAGGTCAGTCATAACACGAGTAGAAACTAGGCGTTAGGTATTGGCGTTCTGTGGGGCTCCTTGTTCGGCGTCAACATGCCCGAGCAGCTCGGCACCCTCAGGCTCGACACCCTCAGGCTTGGCACCCTCAGGCGCGGCACCCTTAGGCTCAGGCTCAACAGCCTCATCCCATGGCGAAGCATCCTTAGGCGCGATAGCTTGCTGCTGAGGTAGTTCGTCTTCGCTGTCACTGAAATCGAGAATCGAAAGGTCCCCTTTGACGGTTGGATTGGGTGGAGCACGCCCCGCGCGTTGCCTGGGCATCAATCAGTAGATAGAAAAGAATACTGGCGGGCATGATGCCGTACCACGCGCCGTCCCACAGAGATTTCTGAAGCCGGATGAACTTCCGCGGTTTCAGTTCCTGCATGGTGCGGAGATTCTCCATGTGCCGAGCGTAAACCGGGCTATACTTGTCCGCAGTGAAATCGTTCACATGCGGAGTATTCGTTCCGCTCTCCCAGTCCAGCAAAGCACACTCGACCTACAGACAATCAGTATCGGAATCACTACGGCTGATCAAGCTCACTGCCGTGGCGATCAACGCGATGAGTTTGTCGGGAATCGGATTGAAGTTTGCGGAGAATATACCCGCCGCTTCGGCCTTCCGGCCTTGAAACCATTGCTGTACCAGCAACGTCAGTATAATCGGATTGCGGAAGGCCCCTTTTCGCTGTTGACAACAAGTTAGCAACGAAAAGAATGATGTATCATGACTTACCTCGAATGGGTCCTCGAAGAGGAAGGAGCCGTGATCGAGCAAGTCTCGTATGCCGTCCTTGATATTCTCGGCGGGGATATTGAGGAAGCCGTAGTTCGTCTCGACTAGGAGTTGTGCCTTCGACTTCAGCTCGCCGCGAAGTTGCGAGCTGCCGCGTTTGACCTACACGTACCCGGAGGTTAGTGTATATGTATTCGTATGAAGGCAAAGACTTACAATGCTTCATCTGAAAAAACCCAAATTTATATAGCTGCCCCTTTGAACTATTGTTGCTATAGTAGCTCTATGTGCACTATGGAGTGATCAGCTAGCTGCTATAGAGTGCTATGTAGACTATGACAGTTGCTATGGGGTGCTATGTAGACTATGATGGTCGCTATGGGGTGCTACATAGCAATTTATAGCTTAATACACCAGCTATATAGCAATGCATAGCTCATGGTGACATCAATATAGCACCCATAGCTTTGGATATATGTCTATATAGCATACATAGTTTCGGTACATACTTATATAGAAACTATAGCAGACTTTCCAGCTCACACTATGTTATGATCCATTAGTTTTGGGGTAATAGTCAGCATGGACAGTGAAGTATGAGGACCATAGTATCATATAAGCTTATATACATACATTATAATTAACAATGGCACAGTATTAGGATCAATGTGGACTTAGCAAAAATTCGGGTTTGGACCAACAGTCACGTGACCGATGTTTGACGCGGCCCGTCAACACAAGTCCACGCCCCCGCACCCTCGCCCTCGACAAGCTGTGATCCCACCGCCTCCCCTTGTCGACGCTCCCTCGCCTCTGCCTCTTCGACCAGCCCAGCCCGGCTCGTCGAGCCCACGCCCTTCGAACAGCCCTGAGTGCGAGCCGCCAACGCGGTCGCGCTCGGCGCAGCTTCCGCCCCCGCCCTCACCTGTCGACCAGCCCCGAGCCCGAGCCGCCAACGCGGTCGGGCTCGG